TTTTCTTTTTTCCGAGGGCCCCCACACCATTTAATGTGGTTTTGAACTTTTGAGTGGGCAACATGTGAAGGATGGGTAAGAGGGGTCCATATGAAAGGGGTTATTTTGGCTAAATTTTAAGTTTACATAAAATAATATCATCTAGACTAAGTACTTGGAATTTGCAAGTGTGAAATATTAACACTAATTCTTGAGTTACCGACTAGACTAGCAAAGATGTTTCGAAATTTTATGTATGATATTCGAACAACAGTAGACCTGTAAACGAGTCAGTGTCGAACTGAACTCAAGTTTAGGGTGCTCGAACTCGAGCTCGAGTCCTTAACGAACGAGATAGAATCGAGCTTAAATTCGGGTCATTTATCATTATTAACGAGCCGATTTCAAACATTAACAAATTGAACTACAAAAATTATAAAAATTTTCTTTTCGAGTCTTATCGAGCCGAGCTGTTAACCAAACGAGCTTTAAATGAGCTCGAGCTCGAGCTAAACTGGAGCTGAGTCGAGCCAAACTCGTTTAATTTAACAGCACTACATTAGTCACAATTCTAATTTTGTTTTTTTTATTAGTTTGAGAGTTGTGGCATATATATATCATTCTCTCTTTTTACGTCAGTTAATGAGTTAGACACATAAACATATGTCACTTGATTTGTTGACTGCGTACTTTGATTTATTTATTAATTTATTTATTTTTAAAGAAGTAAAAGCTTCTGACTTTTAATGAGGAGATTATATGGAGTGGATAATTTGAGATGATCGTGGGCTATCTCAAAGCTTCAATTATTAATGGAAGAATTTTTATCTGTGCTTTGCTTCATCTTCTAGCAAGGAAAAAAACACAAATATATATAAGGAATTTTCTGACAACTTTTGCATCATCACATAATACATTTTTTTTGTTATTTCTTTCCTTATTATGTTCCTTTTCAGAAAATGATCAGTCTAAAGAATTTCTCATATTTTGGTTCTGTTGGCCGACTTTACCGACTTAGTTCTTAATTTGACTTATGTTTCCAGAATAAATAGAATCTGGCAATCTGCCACGTAATGGGAATAAAAATATTAAATGGGTAAAATATTCAAGCAATTGAATTTAAATATTTCGAAATTAGGAAGTGGAACAAAAGAGCTATGCTTTGCGGGCCATATATTATTGGGATTCTACCTCTCATCTTAACTGAGGAAATTGTTTTATTTTGTGGAGGCCATACAATCGAGCAATAAGGTTCGAGAATCCCAAATGTGCCTCAAAAATTATTTTTATGTAAGAATTGTTGGGTTAGAACACCAAACGCAGCGGACAAAAATACCCCTCCAACAAATATGGCAAGCACTACTCCAAACGAAAATAAGCCAACACAAATAAATAAAAGACGGAAAATAAAAAGGACACAAAAATTGATAACGGAGTTCGGCGAAAATAGCCTACGTCTCCGGGCACCGCCAACCGCAACGCCAAATTTACTAAACTCACCAACAAAATACAACTAGGATTAAATAACCCACAAATTAGGATTTCCTTAATTAAGGATTTCCTACCAAGAGAGGAGAGAATAGAATAAGGTGCAATTGTAACCCAAAGGCAAGGGACTTATTTATACTAATAAGATCCTACACATCTTTGGTATACATTCGATGTGGGACAAACAATTAATCAAAAAACTAACAATTCTCCACCTTGACTAATTTTGCTCCCACTTCGACTCTTCAATCCAAATCAACTGTCGGCGGTGCCTCCAAATGCGCCTCACGGCGCCAACTCAAATATGCAGAATGTTGGTCAAGTCTAAACAATGTTTAAACTTGACTGTTGTCACTACCTTGGTCATCATATCTGCAGGATTCTCCGTCGTCTTGATCTTCTTCAACACAACGGTTCCATCTTCTAGAATCTCCCGCACAAAGTGATAGCGAACATCAATATGCTTCGTTCTTGCATGAAATACTTGATTTTTCGCTAAGTGAATAGCGCTCTGACTGTCACAATGCACTAAGACGTGCTTTTGACCAACTCCCAAGTCTTCAAGCAAACTTTGAAGCCAAATAGCCTCCTTCACAGCTTCAGTAACCGCCATATACTCTGCCTCTGTTGTAGACAAAGCAACCGTTGATTGTAAGGTAGACTTCCAACTGACTGGAGCTTTCGCAAAAGTGAACAAATATCCAGTCGTTGATCTTCGCTTATCCAAATCGCCCGCGTAGTCAGAATCACAATATCCAACCACACATTGACCAAATTCATCCTGCTCATAAACTAATCCAACGTCTACAGTATTATGAATGTACCGTAGAATCCATTTCACAGCGTGCCAATGACCTTTACCAGGGTCATGCATATATCTGCTAACAACACCAACTGCTTGTGAAATGTCGGGCCTTGTACACACCATCGCATACATCAAACTACCAACTGCATTTGCATATGGGACTCTATCCATGTACTCTCGTTCTTCATCACAATTTGGCGATAATTGGGCACTTAACTTAATATGAGGGGCAAGTGGTGTACTTACAGGCTTCGTCTCATCTTTTATGCCGAAACGTTGTAGTACCTTGTTCAGATATTGCTTCTGAGTCAAACAAAGCTTGCCTCTCCTTCTGTCCCTACTTATCTCCATCCCGAGAATTTTCTTAGCTTCCCCCAAGTCTTTCATCTCAAACTCTTGGTTCAACTGAGCCTTCAACTGATCAATCTCCACTTGGCTCTTTGATGCAACCAACATGTCATCCACATACAAGAGTAAGTAAATGAAAGATCCATCTTGCAGCTTGCGTAGATACACACAATGATCATGTTTGCTTCGTGTGTACTTCTGCCCAATCATAAACTTATCAAACCGTTTGTACCACTGTCTCGGAGATTGCTTCAGTCCGTACAACGATTTATTCAACTTACAGACCCAATTCTCTTTTCCAAAAATTTTGAATCCTTCTGGCTGAGTCATGTAGATTTCCTCATCTAAATCTCCGTGTAAGAACGTCGTCTTCACGTCAAGTTGAGCTAGCTCCAAATTCAACTGTGCTGCTAAGGCCAACAAAATTCTAATGGAAGAGTGCTTAACAACTGGAGAAAACACTTCATTATAATCAACTCCTTCCTTCTGAGCGTAGCCTTTAGCCACCAATCTTGCCTTGTAGCGCACATCATTCTTATGAGGAAATCCATCTTTCTTTGCAAATACCCACTTGCATCCTATCGCCCTTTTGCCTTTTGGTAGTTGCGTCACCTTCCAAGTTTGATTCTTCTGGAGAGACAACATTTCTTCCTCCATAGCCCTTTTCCACTTCTCATTTTCTAAACTCCGAATTGCATCTTGAAAAGTGAAAGGTATGTCATCATCAACAATTGGAAGTGCATAAGCCACCATATCCGCCAATCGAGCAGGTTGTTGAATCTCTCGTCTGGGCTTTCTCAATGCAATGGGTAACTCTAATGATTCTTGAGTCTGAACTTCATCATCCGACGAATCATTTGATATTGGTTCGTCGATCATAGCTGGTCGTCTCGTCATTGCATCTATCTCCACCTGCTTCGGTGTCAACTCCACCTGTTGGGTTTGCGTCGTCTTTATCATACTTTGTTCATCAAATGTAACATCTCTGCTGAACACAGTTTTGTTCGTCTCAAGACACAAAAGACGATATCCCTTCACACCAATTGTGATTCCCATGAACAAAGCCTTTTTCGCTCTTGGATCTAACTTTGAATCCTTCACATGATAGAACGTAGGACACCCAAAGACATGTAAAGATCCATAGTCAGCAACAGGTTTCCCCGACCATACCTCTAACGGTGTTTTACCATCTTTTGCAGATGACGGCAATCGATTTATGAGGTGTTGCGCGTATGTTACAGCCTCAGCCCAGTACTCCTTGCCCAAACCAGCATTGGACAACATACATCGAACTTTCTCCACCAATGTTCGATTCATGCGCTCCGCCACCCCATTTTGTTGTGGTGTCCGTCTAACAGTGAAGTGCCTAACAATGCCATTTTTCCGGCAAACTTCTTGAAAGGGATCACTTGTATATTCTCCACCATTGTCCGTTCGTAGGACCTTGATCTTCCTTCCAGTCTGATTCTCAATTTGCGTCTTCCATGTAATGAAGACACCAAGCACTTCATCCTTCGTCTTCATAGTGTACACCCAAACTCGTCTGGAAAAGTCATCGATGAAAGTGACAAAATAGCGTCTTCCGCCTAATGATGGGGTCTTAGAAGGTCCCCAAACATCCGAATGAACATAATCCAAGACACCTTCGGTATTATGGATAGCCGTTCCAAACTTCACTCTCTTCTGCTTTCCCCGAACACAATGCTCACAAAAGTCTAATTTGCACATTTTGACATCTTTCAACAGTCCTTGTTTTGCCAATGTCTGCAAGGATTTTTCACCAGCATGTCCCAACCGCATATGCCACAACTTGACTGCTTCAGACTCCTTGTTAGTGGAATCTACTACTGTTGCTGTCCCAACAACTGTATTTCCTACATAGTAATACAAATTATTTCTCCTGATGCCTTTCATCACCACGAGCAAGCCGGATGTAGCCTTCATAACTCCATCTCGTAAAGTCACTACCAAGCCTTTGGATTCCAAGGCTCCTAATGAGATGAGATTTTTCTTCAAACTCGGCACGTACCGAACATCCGTCAAAACTCTGGTGGAACCATTGCGATTCTTCAAACGGATTGAACCTATCCCAGTTGTCTTACAAGTATTATCATTACCCATGTAGACAACCCCTCCATTGATCTCTTGAAAATCAAAGAACCACTCCCTTATGGGAGACATATGGTAGGTGCATCCTGAATCCAAAATCCATTCATCTGGATGAGATGATGAAGGTGAAACCACAAGTGAAAATTCTGAGTCTTCACTTCCACCCTCAGCAACATATGCATCTTGAGGAGATTTGCCTTTCTTCTTTAACTTAGGACAGTCCTTCTTCCAATGTCCCTTCTCATGGCAGAAAGCACACTCGTCTTTTTCAAGCTTGGACTTGGAACGTGATCTTCCTCGTCCATTCTTCTTTTGGCTCTTCGACCGACCTCTTGCAACTAACGCTTCATCTTCTGCTGATGCATTCTTCGTCTCTTGTTTGTTCTTCTTCCTCAACTCGTAGCTATAAAGAGCAGAACTGACCACCGCAAGAGTTACATCGTCCTTCCCATGGAGCAGAGTAGTCTCCAAGTGCTCGAAGTCATCCGGAAGTGATGATAACAACATTAGAGCCAAATCTTCATCGCTGAATGTGACGTCCAAATTCAACAAATCTGCAACCAACTGATTGAATTCAGTGACGTGGTCATTCATCGATGTGCCATGCCGGTACTCAAATCGGAACAATCGCTTCTTCATGAGGAGCTTATTCTGGCCGCTTTTCTTCAGAAATTTATCCTCCAAAGCCTTCCACAAAGTGTGAGCAGAATTCTCATTCTTGAACGCGTACTTCTGCTCCCTCGACAAACACGAACGAATTGTTCCACATGCTAAGCGGTTGATATTCTTCCAGTCCTTCTCTTCAACGTCGGTTGGCTTCTCTTCTTCAATTGCAATGTCGACGCCTTGCTGAAAAAGACAATCCAGCACCTCGCCTTGCCACATGCCGAAATGCCCGGTCCCATCGAAAATCTCCACTGGGAGTCTGACGTTTGGCATCACCGTCCTTGCCGGAATGAATGCAGAGGATGATGCGCCCTTGACCTCCTTGGACATCTCGAACTCAAATGCAGTGCTCGCCTCTTCGAATTAGCCTAGGGCGAACCTTCGGCTCTGATACCACTTGTTGGGTTAGAACACCAAACGCAGCGGACAAAAATACCCCTCCAACAAATATGGCAAGCACTACTCCAAACGAAAATAAGCCAACACAAATAAATAAAAGACGGAAAATAAAAAGGACACAAAAATTGATAACGGAGTTCGGCGAAAATAGCCTACGTCTCCGGGCACCGCCAACCGCAACGCCAAATTTACTAAACTCACCAACAAAATACAACTAGGATTAAATAACCCACAAATTAGGATTTCCTTAATTAAGTATTTCCTACCAAGAGAGGAGAGAATAGAATAAGGTGCAATTGTAACCCAAAGGCAAGGGACTTATTTATACTAATAAGATCCTACACATCTTTGGTATACATTCGATGTGGGACAAACAATTAATCAAAAAACTA